CTGGGGAGAAGGTGGCTCAATTACCTTTGGAGAAAATAAAGACTTGCTTTAATTGTGACTTCCCAGCATATTTCAAACCTTAGACTTTTTAGTGTTCAGCAGACATTAAATCTCAGTGGAACGATGATAGCCTTAATAAGTTTGATCCTGTAACTCTGATTCGGAAGCAGTACTTACTGTTGTTGTTTTTTTAATTTATTGCCTGTGTATTTATTCTACCATAGCTGATTCCTTTATGCCACTTCCACGAGCTATAGATATTGCCAGTGAAAAGCAGAGAACTTGTCCTGCTTCAGAAACCAATAAATCAAATAAAACAAAACAAAAACCGCAGCCTCTTATGAATATTTAAGAACAAAAGGTAAGATGATTTGTCTCTTAAAGTATTTAGCTCTATGAAACATTAAAGAGGTCTCAAAAAAGCACTCCAGAAATTTCGACGAAGCATTTAAAGCTGAATGTGTCTGAAATACTAAAATTAATGTTCTCAGCTGCCATGTATTAAATTGTGTCTCCTCAAAATATGTACTGGAATCCCAGTGTAGGAACCTGGACTTTTGACCCTATTTAGAAGTAAGTAGGAGTTATCTTTGTTATGTACAGGTGCCCAGGTCAGAGTAGGGTGGGTCTGAAATGTAATCACTTCTGACTTATGGAAAGAGCAGAGTAGACACAAATGTACTTAAAAGGGTACTGGGAAGACAGACAACAGCATTTGTGGCATTTACAAGCCCAGGAATGCCGAGAATGCTGGCAGCCCCCAGAAGCTGAAATAGACCCCCAAAAAGTACTTCTCCCCTAGAGCCATTAACTTAAACTTCCACCCCTTGCTGTGTGAGAAAATACATTTCTGTTTTTTACAGCCACTCACTGGTGGTATGTGTTGTCATGGCAGTGCTAGGTAACTAAGATATGGATTAGACTACAGACATGTTTTTTAAATTAATTTAAGGAGAGTGATAAAGAAGCACTAGAAAGAATAATAATATATTGAACATATGCATACACATGCACGCATGGGTGTCTATATACATAAATGTGTGTGTGTGTGTGTGTGTGTGCGTGCACATAACAGGGAACGTTAATTAATTCTGTATAGAACGGCTCCCAAGATATCTGGCAAATTTAAGATTCAATGAAAGGCATTAAATAAGCTATATTATTACATGAATACATTAATTAATTGATTATTTCCAGCTTCATTTTTTAACTTAGTTCCTCTAGATTCATGACATTATTTCATTATTCACTATCTCTGAGAATAATTTTTCATTTTTATTATAAAGAAAATTCTATTTCTAGTTTTTTTTTAATATTTGTGTGTGTGTGTGTATGTGTGCATTACCCATGAGGGATGATGAATACAATGCCCCTTTGCAATGCTGGACATGTGATATACTGCACACATTTCTCTGAATTAGAATTTTAGTGACTGTACACCCAGTGGGAAAGCAGAGTTGAAAAGGAAAACTAACTGTCTCTGTCTTAAAAAGACATGTACACACGTATGATCCTGTGGGTTATAGGAAATATTCTCCCCCAAATTATATGCTTGTTACATCTGTAATGTGAGTATGCCTGCATATATGCATGAAATGAAGAATTTAATAATTTTAAAGCATTATTTTACAGGATGAATTTTTATGTATTTTAGAGGCAGGAATATCTATTAAAACATGATTGCAATTATAATCTGGTGAAAGATGATGCTGGCTTGGGCCTTTGTGTTAAGTATGACTGGATAGCATATTTGGTTTATGGCTATAGCTAATTTAAAGGTATATCCAACAGAATTTTCTGAGGCACTGCATATGAACTATATGAGAAAGTGATAACAGTTTTACTAATTTTCATTTGTTTATTTAAGTAATCCATTGGAGGAATTAGAAGTGTGAGCTTATCATTGTCTTGCTATAGGATGCAGCAAGACTTGTTATCGGTGCAAGACTGTCTTTCCCTATAAAGATGTACAGCCTTGGAAACCCTGTGGAGCAGTTCTACTCTGGTCTGTGGGGACTCTGAGTCAGAATGAACATGACGGTCATTGTTTTGATTTGGTGTTTTTTGAGGAGTTCGGTTTTGCTATGCTGAGTTGCTATTTAATATTTTCATGTATATGTGAGTAGGTAGTTAAATTATAACTATAAGTTTTGGAAAGAGGTCAGAGCTGGAAATTCATGTTTTGAAGCTAGAAGTATGTAGATGGTGTTTCAAAACATTATATGAAATAAGAATCAAGGATTGGAACAGTAAACCAAGAAAACTAAGAAGGTTAAATCCATGTTGGGGGGAAACTCAGAATGCTGTCCTGAAAGATAAATGCAGAAAGCTTTTCATGAGAGTCGGAAACGATCTCTTTCTAATGCTGTTGATAGATCAAGAAAGACAAAGGCTGAAAATTGATCATTGGATTTAACTACAGAAGGATCAGTGATCATTTTGACAAGGACACTTTCCCTAATTGAAGTGAGCTTAAGAAGAGAGGGAAATTAGACTTGTATTCAGTCACTAAATTCAACTGTCTGAGTGCATTTTATTGCCAAGGGGGTGGGATAGAAAGGAAAGGCAGTATAATCAAGAGAATATATAGTACTATGTGTGGGTATGTCTGGTATATATATATATATGAAATCTCACTATGTAATATAGTAACATATACATGTAAAATCATAAAAATAACAGCCTAGTGGTATGCCAATGGAAATTATACAGTCACCTGATTATAATGTGATTCAGAATAGTTGCTTGGTTGAAGAATGGAGACAAAGAGAAGGAAGAGGAAGGAGGGGAAAACATAGGAGAGAGAAAAGGGGAGGAAGGAGGAATTTGGGGAAGAGGGAAAAAGATGGGTAAAAGGGAAGGGGTGGGAAAGTGAGATCAAGGGAAGGATGTAGAAAGGGCAGGAAAAAGAGTAAAGCACACAGAATGAGCAGAAGCGTATGGAGGGGAGGGGAGGGGACTGGAAGAGAAGAGGAACAAACTCTTCAGAGGTAGGGTAAGACATACAAGGGTCAATTTATCAAAGTTATCATTTTATCAAACTTGTTTTTTAGGAGCTTGACTTTTAAAAAATCTGACATTGAAGTCCTTTGGGCAGCAGAGTGGAAAGATCATTTTAGAAGTATGAACTTATCATTGGCATGAGAGAGGGACATGTTATGGGTGCAGCAAGGATGTCTCCTCCCATAAACATTTACAGCCTCAGACACCCTAGAGAGCAGTCCTTCAGGAAGAAGTTTGGTGAAGAGGGAAGACCGCAGTATCCTAGATGTGGGAATTCCACCCCAACACATAATCATATTAAAATGCAATAGTTGGCTGTGTTTACTCAAGGAATCTTTTCCTCTTCTCTTTAATAGGAGAAAAGCTAGGCTTAATACTCATGCTCTCTAGACACCATAGACGTGATCTTATAAAGTATACTTGTTTAAGGTAGGAATGGACTATTTGTTTTTACTGGTATTCTTGCACAATTTATTCCTTGGCTTCTTTTTCATTCCAGGAAAGGAACCCTTCCCTTTGAGACAGAGGTATGACCAACCATACAACAGTGACTGAATTTATTCTCCTGGGCTTCAGGGACCATCGAGAGCTACAATGTCTTCTTTTTGTGGTGTTTCTGCTTATCTATCTGGTCACTGTGGTTGGAAATCTTGGCATGATTCTAATAATCAAGACTGATTCACGTCTCCACACTCCCATGTACTTCTTCCTCAGTAACTTGTCCCTGGTTGATTTCTGCTACTCTTCTGTAATTGCCCCCAAAATGCTGGTGAACTTCTGGCTGGAGCACCCAGCCATTTCATTCAATGGATGTGCCACTCAATTCTTCTTTTTTGGTTCCTTTGCTGGCATTGAAGGCTTCCTGTTGGCTGTGATGGCCTATGACCGGTATGTGGCCATCTGTAAGCCTCTACTCTACGTGGTCACCATGTCACCGCACATCAACATTATCTTGGTGTTAATTACATATCTTGCAGGATTTATAAATGCTGCCATCCACACTGGCTTCACCTTCCAGCTGTCTTTCTGCGGCTCAAATGTCATCAACCACTTTTTTTGTGACACCCCACCACTCCTTAAACTCTCCTGTTCTGACACACACATCAATGAGGTTGTCATCTTTGCTTTTGCCAGTTTTAATGAGCTTAGCTGCCTTCTTACTATTCTCGTTTCTTATCTCTATATCTTGATTGCCATCCTGAGGATCCCGTCTACGGAGGGAAGGCACAAAGCTTTCTCCACCTGTGCTTCCCATTTGATGGTGGTCACCCTTTTCTTTGGGACAATCTTATTCATGTATCTGCGTCCCAGCTCGAGCTACTCAATGGACCAAGACAAAATAGTATCTGTGTTTTATACAGTGATTATTCCCATGTTAAATCCTCTCATTTATAGTCTGAGGAACAAAGAGGTCCAAACCTCCTTAGGTAAGCTTTTAAAACGAAGCTAAACTCTTTTCACTCTTGTTACTAAAATGATAAATGTGTGAGACGAAATGACCAGAACAGAACTTAGAGATAAGCCCATCTCCATCACCTTTTATTCTGTCATGAAGTTTCTTCTGGTAATAGAAAAAGGGTGATGCCATTTTTTTTCCTGTTCCTAGTGAACCAGAGGCAAATTTCAGAACGTGGTCTGACATTTGCATTTTAAGCTCTGTAAGCTTGAAGAGCTATGACAAGATGAATACTTCCCTAATATCTTAAATAACCACTCACTTCTATTTTATTGCTCTATGCAATTTGATGTGGCTGTGGGCTGATTCGACTTTGAGTTGATTTCATGGCTGGGCTATCTCTGCCAAATAATTTGATTTTCTTTACAGATCACTGTTAACATGTGAACATAAAATAAACTAATTGTGATCCTAGTATACCTTACCCATGTCATTGAAAACTGATTGTAGTGCCAGTAGAGAAGTAGCCACTTTTATCTGTTAAAGAACTACTTTGCTTTCAGTTAGAGCCTAGAGTTTCTGATGCACACCAATGCTTTGTCTGCTTCATTCTGTCTTTCAGGCATTGCTTACTGAAATAATAATGAACTCGCCCTTCTGTATTGCTTGTACTGTGATTATAGTCTATTTCATCCTTCTTCAAAATCTGTTACACATGCAATCCCCACTAAGATTTCTCTTGACCTTTTCCCCCATCGTTTTCAAAACAAATTGTTATATATTTCCCCACTGCTGTGTTTCTGTAGACATTGTAACCCCAAATTCATTCCTCATCAAAGAGACAAATTGCAAGCAAACAAACAAAAAACAGTTTAAAGGTTCCCTACATAGGCTGAGTGCTCCTTAAAGAAGAATCTTTTTATCCTTATCAAATTTCTATTTAATATCAACTTCACAGCTGTCGGTACTGGTATGCTTTAAAATCAAGGAAGAATAATACAAATACAAGACAGAGTATGATGAAAAGAGACGAGGCTGCCGGTGGTGGCCGGAGCTCTAAGTGTTCAACAAGGACAATTTAAAAAACCGAGTCATAGAAATGAAAAACTTATATATGATTGTATAATCTGTCAGATGATATTTTCTTTCTTAAAAATGCTCTTTTTTGACAACTAAACATATGCTATTTTGTTATCCAATGTCTTTGATTATAAATAAACATCTAGCATACAGGACATTTCTGCTGAAAGAATGAAATTTAGTTCAAACCAACATAGGTCGGATACGAGGATTGGGATTAGTGCGACTAGCTCTCTCGCTCTCTCTCTAAGTCATTGCCTTATAGGCAAAGCTGCTCTTTTTAAAGATGGTCTGTGGTTGCCTGACATACCTAGGATGTCTACTGTGAGTGTGTATGTATGTGTATGTATGACTATGTGTGCACATGTGTCCATGCGTATATGTGTTGCTGATGTGGCCAATCTGAGAGATACTGTGTCTCAATAGTTACTATAATTCATTGTGCATTTACTTGGCAACATTTTATTTCTTGTATGACCACTTTTCTTTTCATTGGCAACCTCATAGGTAGGAAGCAATTCCTTATAATACTGAACCCTGGTGTTGTCAAAAATGTTGTCACTGGTGTTAATTTTAATAATAGACAGGTTAGGTGCCATCACATAAACTATGAGTTTCTCTTTCCAAACATACCTGTAATATTGTGTGTTATGTGTATCGAATTCTGCTGATTGAAAAATATAAGTATGCCCTATGTTATCAGCATGCTTTATTATAAAGAGATTCAATATTATATTATTGCAAACAATATTGAAATTACTATGGGTCCACAAACTAGCATCTTTAAATTCTACTTTTTTTACATACTGTCTTCTGAAGGCCTATATATTCTAGTATATTTAAAAATACAAATACAAAAGCTAATTATCATGTATGAGGTAGATACACATAAGTGTTTGGTCAATCTAAACTTTGTTTAACTTAGTTTTACTGACCTGGAAGTGCAGTGTAAGTGACAAAAACTCTATATTCTTGTAGTTGCAGCACATGCATTGCTAAACAATATTGAAATGTTTTCAATTCTACTCCCCTAAGCCATTTACTTTTATAAATCATTCTTTTTATGAATGATCATGGTTGTCAGATCTGACTTTGCCCTAGCATGTTGATGACCGTAAGGCAATAGGAAAATCAGTATAAATCTATAACTTATCCTCAGAAAGGTTCCTCTATGCTTTGCATTATTTTTAGTTTTTTATCTCTGCAAACCTCCTAATACTTTGACAGTTAGTTTCATTAAATGATCTCATTTAGATGCTTGTAGCATACAAAACAAAAAGTCTATGTCAGGAAGTCCCTCATCTATATTATACTAAAACACTGTTCTAAATGACAAAACTGATTTGCCTAGATTTTCCTTCTTCCACTTCACTGAAAGTGGTGGCTAATTGATGTACACTAAGAATCTCATGGACTCATCTGCCAGGCAAGGTAGAGATGATGGCCTCTAAGGAGAACCTAGCTCTTCAAAACATCAAATTATGGTTATGTCCTTGAGGAACCTAGGGTATTTTAATTGGTTTTTTTGAATTAGTAAAAAAACACTTTAGGGACAATACGGAAATAATATAAAGCTTCCCAATTTTTTCTGACAAGACATGGCAAGTCAGTTGTTGCAGGTAGGTTATTTTCTACATTATACACTAAAATACATATTCTCATATATATTAAAATGTGTAGTGTTTTGCATTCCACTAATGTAAAAAAAAAGAAATACTATTTTCATAAATTCCCTTTGAGTTTTCTATTCACATATTAATAAAAGTTTATTATATTTCTAAAAATTAGTTAGTTTATGCAATACTGTTCTGATGTATGTAAATAAACAATGATCTTAGAATTCAATACGTGACGAGTAATCAGTACAGCCTGCAGTCCAGTGAATTATTCATGGGTCTTCTAGTCATCATTTTTGTAACTCACACCAAATGACTTTTCCCAAATGGGTCTGGGTAAGAAGGTCGGGGATGATACTGATTTTATTATATGATTCAGATATGATTGCCATCTGCTGGCTATATATAACACGAGCCATCTCAGAAGCAGGGTGTGGAATCTCACTACCAGCAAGAAGAGAACTAGGAGGGGAGAGTTCCCTTTGAACCATGCATCTGGTTTGCCTCTCTCTATGGGTTCGACCTCTGGTTGTTTGGGACTTGTGTTGAGACCTATCACCTGAGCTGATTTCACCAGCTTCTATACCCTCGTGGATTAGGAGGGTTATCCAGATGGGTATCAGAAATTTGGATTTTTGAGACTTACCAGCGACCACAACTCCATGAGTCCTTTCCCTGCACACCGTAAGTGCTGTGTGATCATGACCATGAATCCCGGGACCCAGGGAATATAGAGAATATCCTTAGGGGAGGAGTGGTAGTTGTTATCAGGGATAATGGATCAGAGGAGAATTTTTGAAAAGTGGGATATTTTGGACATATTTAACCTCCACCTTCTTGGGAATACTCTTGAATTAATTATTCTAAAAGAAATTATTTCTTCAAGCCCTATCTTAATTTTCTCAAAAGACATAGAACAAATTAAGAAATAACAGCTAGATCTGGAACCCAGGACCATCTTTGAACATTATCTGTGAGTCCTTAAACAAAATATTTCATGAATGAGCTATTCTAAAAATTAGGAACCAAAATACTCTAAAGTCTTTTCCCAGATACTTGCATAGTTTATGTTCCAGTGCTACCATCTCTTCTCTGATAGCTGCTTTATATCATTCCTCATTGTACTTTTCCCTACTTCAAATTTCCTTCACAGTGATTGCTTCAATCCAATGGTATTTTACATATATTTCTATTCATTTAACATCTGCTCATGCTACAATGATACATGATCAAATGAAGTAGGGAATTCGTTGTAACTCCAGAAACCAAACAACAACGAACCAAATATCGCTGGATAAAAAAGGGCTGATTTTCAGATGAGGAGAAAACAATTCTTAGTTTAAAAAATAGTTTTAGTGGCATGTAATTCAATCATACAATCATTTTCAGAAGAATTGTGCAATCATCAGCACAATCACTTCTTCTCATACTCATTATTACCCATCTTCCCCAGTCTCTCCTGCTACGACTCTAGGTAATTTCTAATACAGCTACTCCCTTTATAGATTTACCTGTCCTGAATTTCATGTGCAGAAAATCATACAAATCGCAAGCAGAAAGAAAACAAAATCCAACAACAAGGGTGCAAAACAAAACAGAGAAAAAAAATCTCAATCAAAAGGAAATCAGAAAAGATTTAAAACAAAACAACTTTAAAATGGATCAAAGGGGAGATCATATGATAAGGTGTTCCATATTTACATAACTACATCTGCCATAATTGATTTTACAATACTCTGTCTGATACCAAAGCTACTCACATTCCTGGCCTACAGTCAGAAGGTATCCATGGAGGGTTGGAATCCACTTAGGTATCCTGCAAATGGATTTGGGACTTCCACTATTGTCAATAATCTTCTACACACTGGATGTTCACAATTTAAGCTCTGATACAGTCCCCTTGTTTGGATTTGGATTTTATTATTTCCAATCCTTGGATCACAAAGACTGGTGTGCTTCTGCCATGTGGACTTAGTCGATGCCTCACTTACATAGCTGCTTGTTTAAAGACAAGACACTCTTTTCTCCTGATAACTGGAAACCATTTGGTTTCTTCATCACATTTTTCTACATCCTCTGTGTCAGGGATCTCTTCATTAGAGAGAATATTTGAGTAGTGCTGTGTCCTAAGAGCTAATTGTTTTTATATTGGTTCTAGAATTAAGTGTGAGCTCCAAACCCATTCTTTTTAATCATTTTATTGGGGGGCTTGGACAACTCTATCACAATCCATACATCCATCCATTGTGTCAAGCACATTTGTATATTTGTTGCCATCATCATTCTCAAAACAGTTTCTTTCTACTTGAGCCCTTGGTATCAGCTCCTCATTTTCCCCCTCCCCTCACCCTGCCTCCCTCACAAACCTTTGATAATTTATAAGGTTTTATTGTTTTTCCATGTCTTACACTTTCCAATGTCTCCTTTACCCACTTTTCTGTTGTCATCCCTCAGGGAGGGGGTTATATGTAGATCATTGTGATCAGTTTCCCCTTTCTCCCTCACCTTCCCATTTCTCTCCTGGTATTGCTACTCTCATTATTCATCCTGATTATTGGTCTCATTATCTGTCCTGGATTCCCTGTGTTTCCAGCTCTTATCTGTACCAGTGTAAATGCTATGGTCTAGCCAGATTTGTAAGGTAGAATTGAGATCATGATAGTGGGGCAAGGAACCATTAAAGAACTAGAGGAAAGTTGGATGTTTCATCGTTGCTACACTGCATCCTGACTGGCTCATCTCCTCCCCGATCCTACTGTACAGGGATGTCCAGTTGCCTACAGATGGGCTTTGGTTCTCCACTCCCACACTCCCACTCATTCACAATAATGCCTGATACCTGATCTTATCAACACCTCGTGATCTTCCATGTGGGCTTCGTCCCTTCCCTGCTAGATGGCTGCTTGTCTATCTTCAAGCCTTTAAGACCCCAGATGCTATATCTTTTGATAGCCAGGCACCATCAGCTTTTTTCACCACATTTGCTTATTTACCCATTTTGTCTTCAGCGATCTTGTTGGGAAGATGAGCGTCATTGAATGCCACTAACCAATTTTTATATCTATGGTTTATTTATGTTTGTTGTTCACTTTAAAGACATTTTATAATATTATGATAAGGACCATTATAAGTCTCCCCCCTGGGGAATGCGGGAATTCTTTTGCTATTGTAATTAATTTAGCCAATGGTACAGAATTTACAATACTGTTGAGAAAATGAAATTATACATATATAAACCAGCTTTTCATACCATAATACATGATTTATTGACTTATACAGATTAAATGTTTAAGTGACTGGTCATTATTAACCTGAATAATAGAAGTTGGTGGTAGGACAAAACTTTCAATAGTACTCATTCACAGAGTCAGAACCATGCTTACCAGAATAATATATACAAGAATGCAAAGAGAGCATTAAAATGGTGAATATATGGTAGCCCAAGGCCACTATTTATTTGTCATTATCAATTCAAGAGATCAGAACCTAAGTCCAACAAACCCCAGTCCTATACCCTTCAGATGTCGGTCATCTGCTTCACACAGTCAGGTGTTTCTGCTTGAAACCTTAGGGAGTATGTCAGTTCCTTAATTCTGCGACAGGTGAGTTTGTGGTAAAGCCCAGTTCACTTATAGGGGTTTCCACATCAAATCCTTCTGTTCTTGCTTGTGAAGGATGTTATGTGCCTCTAGGAGACATAGTCTAAAGTCAAGGGCTTAATAGGAAACTAGGTCAAAAGTTTCCATTTAGGACCATAGTGCCAGTCCTATTCTCTCTTTGGTTAGATATAAGTGTTTTTCCTTCTCGGAAGTTGTGCTACCTGGTTTATCCACCAACAGAAGTGTAAACAGGGTAATTCTTTGCTCTGTACTTTTCTTATTCCTTTAGCAAGATATAAATATTATCAATTCAATGTAATTAATTTTTAAAAATCCATTTAAAATCCTTAAATGAATTATATATGGTTTTCAAGTAAAATGCTGAACTGAACATTTTTCTTCAATTTTGTTTTGGAAATATTAGGATATCAGAGCTGGATGATTCAAGAGAGATCCAAGTTCCTTGGTTTGTTTTTCTGAATGGTGCAAATGATCACCTGCTTTTCCTTTCTGATTTTTATTTCTCTTTTGAATTTTTCTTCATGAAGTTTGAAAAGAAATACCCCATGCACAGTTCCTCATGAAGACAGCTACATATGTGGAAATATATTGCAATTATCGGTGGGTGTATATGAGTGAGAGGGTAGGAACCCTGGTGATGCTGTAAGTTAGGTGTTGGGCTGTTAACCACAAGGCCAGTAGTTAGAAATCACTATAAGCTCCATGGGAGAAAGATTAAGCTGTCTGCTCCCATAAACCCAAACCAAACTCACTGCCATCAAGTCAATGTTGACTCATAGCAACCTTCTGTGGGTTTCCGAGACTGTAACTATTTATGGGAACAGAAAGCCCAGTCTTTCTCCCATTTAGCTACTGGTGGTTTCCACTGTGTGGACTGCAGTCCAAAGCTTGACCATTACCCTACCAGGTATCCTCCCATAAAGAATTACAGTCTTGGGAACTACTCCATGATAGTGGGTTTGGTTAGGGTTTCTATGCGATAAGGAGGGAAAGGGAGAGGGATAGGGAAAGGGAAGCGAAGAAGAGGAAGAAGGAGAGAGAAGAGAGAGATTAATTATCTGGACAAGAAAGACACTTTTGATAAGAAGAAAATAGTTTATATAGATCAGAGTATCTGTGGATATGTGAGAGAGAGGGAGGTGCAGATAGAGAGATAGATAGATGTATAGATCGATGGATGTGTAGATAGAATTTGAGGTGGATGAAGAAAGAAAGGCAGAAAGATAAAATAGATATGTTTCTTTATAAGGTGATATGAAGTAGATTCTGAAAGTGTTTATGTAGATGTTCTCATGTTTATGAAAATACTAATATAAGAATAAGGGATTAAAATAATAATTAAGATTAAGGGATTCATAGATAAAAGTCAGTGAGTGAATATTGAAATACATGGAATACATGCAGAAATGGTATCAGATGGAAACGCTCATGCACTTTGCCACTTTCAGTTTGCCAAGGATGAGAAAATGTCTTCTGCAAACCACAGCACAGTGACTGAATTCATTCTCTTGGGACTCACGGATGATCCAGGGCTGGAGAAGATCCTGTTTGGAGTGTTCCTGGTGATCTACTTAGTCACACTGGTGGGGAATTTGTGCATGATCTTCCTGATCAGGACCAATTCCCGTCTCCAAACTCCCATGTATTTCTTCCTTGGTCACCTCTCCTTTGTAGACATTTGCTATTCCTCCAATATTACCCCCAATATGCTGTACAACTTCCTCTCCGACACAAAGACCATCTCCTATGCTGGCTGCTTCACACAGTGTCTTCTCTTCATCGCCTTGGTCATCACTGAGTTTTACATCCTGGCTTCCATGGCACTGGATCGCTATGTTGCCATTTGCAGCCCTCTGCATTACATGACCAGGATGTCCAAGAGCATTTGCATCTCCTTAGTCACCGTCCCTTATGCCTATGGCTTCCTTAATGGAATCTCTCAAGCACTTTTGACTTTTCATCTGTCTTTCTGTGGTTCCCTTGAAATCAATCATTTTTATTGTGCGGACCCTCCTCTTTTGATGTTGGCCTGCTCCGATACCTACGTGAAAAAGATGGCAATGTTTATAGTTGCGGGCTTTACTCTCTCAAGCTCTCTCTTCATCATTCTCCTGTCTTACCTTTTCATTTTTGCAGCCATCCTGGGGATGCGTTCTGCTCAGGGCCGGCACAAAGCCTTCTCTACCTGTGGTTCCCACTTGACAACGGTCACTATCTTTTATGGAACCCTTTTCTGCATGTACTTGCGCCCCCCTTCTGAGAAATCCATAGAGGAATCAAAAATAATTGCGGTCTTTTATACTTTTTTGAGCCCAATGCTGAACCCACTCATCTATAGCCTAAGGAACAAGGATGTGATTCATGCCATGCAGCAAGCGGTCAGGGGGAATCTCTTCCGTAAACCTGCAATTTAGAGATCTGTTTACTGTCAACCATTAAGCTCCTCCAGGAAGAGTGATTCCCTGCAAAAACAAAACAAAAAAATAAATCTACTCCTACAGCATCAATATTTGTTTATCATAATGAGCTCTCAAAGTTCATGTTAATTTCCTTTCAAAATTAATATCTCTGGGACAGATTGGCATTAGATACTATAAGTTACTAAAGGTTTAAAAATTCTTAAATGATAGTAACAATATTAAAGGCCATCTTTAACATTTAAAAATAGGCTTTGATATTTAAAATTATTTGCTACTGCGGGGATCTACTGGGAATCATTTGGTTGGGATCTATTAATTCCATATGAAAATAAATCTTTTTACTTACCTGGGGAAATTTCAAAACCAACTTACCATGATTGGAAAATTGGAAATGTGTCTACTCTGAGTAAAACTGTTTATATTTCGGTTCAGCTTAGGATGGCCATACTTAAATATAATCTTATGAAAGGAATTTGGTTGTACTTTGTGTCATGGATCATCGACACTCCATCCTATCTCCTATGATCACTTTTAGACATTTTAAAATGTGTATCCTACAGTGATGTTTCCGTAGGTGTTCCTCCAGCCTATGGCATACACAATTTGAGAAACCGTGTCATGGACAAACTTTAGGAAAGATAATACAGATTATTACTTTCAACTTTACCTCTCAACATTTCATGCTTCCAAGAATATAAATCGCATTCTATCATTGATGGTTGATTGTGGATAGCTGCATTCAAGGCAGCATATCTAGCATAGAGCTAGTTTACTGAGAGTCAATAGAATCTATTACTTGAATATTTGCAGAACCAAAACTGCATGAGGAATATACCAAAAATAAAGTTTTAGAGTATAATAGGTGTGTATGTATCTTTCTGGATATGAAGACGTTTACTGTGGTTCATAAATCAAAGTTTTCTTGAAAAGGTTGATTCAATAGTCCTTTAAACATCTGTTGAAAAATGCGAATAAAAAGGAAGACTTTATAAAGGAAAATATGGATTATGTATTTATATGAGTCACTAAGTTAATTTATGTATTATTAGTTAACTAGGTGACTGCATAGTGAACCATTTATATGTGCATCATTATAAAATTATCATAAATATATTGTATTTTATTATTTTGTACTATGTTTTACATAATATAAATTAACATATTATAGTCAGTATAGTTAGTGAAAAAAAGGATTTAAATAAAGAAAATAAATATACTATAATATAAATATAAATACAAACGTAACCACAAACATCTATATAAATATATTCCCTTTGGTGTGGATTGCTCAGTGGTATGCAGGGTCACTATGAGTGGAACTGACTCCAAGGCAATTGACAGCAACAACAAAAACCCAAACTCGTGGCCATCAGTCCACGTTGGCTCAGACCCTTCCTAAAATGCAGAGAAGAACTGTCCCAATTCGTTTCTAAGACTGAACTCTTCATGGGAGAAGACAGTCCCCGGCTTTCTCCCACTGAGAGGCCGGTGGTTTTCAAACTGCTGACCCTGTGGATTGTAGCCCAAGGTCTTGTAGCCCCCAAACGCTCAACAACTACGGCATATTAAATTTACATTTCAAAGTCATTTGTCTGCTTATTTTTTGGTTTTTTTTAGAGTGGTGGTGGTGGTGATGGCACAGTAGTGGAGCATCAGGGTGCTGACTTGCAGAGAACCAACAAGAAGAACAGTCTAGAAATGAGTTGTAGAGCTCATTTCCTATTGGTTGTAGAGTTCTCGGGGCCTCTTCTTTTTGAAGACTAGTATCATTGGGTCTGGGGGGATTCCCTTACCTTACAAAAGCTGCTCTTTTTTTTTAAAGAAAAGAGTTGTGTTTCCATTTCCACCCTGGGCTGCTTTGCTGAAACATAAATATCATTTGGGGAAAAAAAAGCTTAGTGGCAAAAACCACTCTAGATATTATCCAAATAATTATACCCTCATTTTAATTTTCCTGTACTGGGAAGGACCATGGCTTTCAGTAGTCATTTAACCTCCAATCTTGGCAACTCACTGAACATAAAGAATTGACCTATTTGTGGTTGCTGTTGTTTTTTAAACTACATTTATGATTGCATTTTTCATTTTGGAAGTCTTTGCATGAGAGCTACTTCAAAATGTGCTGTTAGTAGATGACTGGGTGTCACCGAGTCAGCACTAACTCATAGAAACCCTGTGTCCTGCAGAAGGAAACACGGTCCATTCCTGGGCTGTCTACATAATCGTCGCTATGTTTGAGATTATTGCTACATCCAGTGTGTTAATCCAGCTTGTTGAAGGCATTCCTCCTTTTTGTTTACTCTCTACTTTTGGAGCTGCGATCTGCAATGTCCCCAGGTGGAAATCAGCATTCACTCCTTGGGAGAAAGACGGGGCTTTCTACTGTCATGAAGTCTCAGAAAATCACTTGGGGCAGTTCTTTGCTACCCTATAGCATCACTATGAGTGGGCATCAACTCAGTGACAGTGAATTTGGTTTTGATTCTGGTTCTATTTTACCAAGCATGTTTTTCGCCAGGGATAGGTCTACCTTGACAATAGGACCAAGGTCCGTTTAAGATTTAGTCTCACCCTTCTCACATATAGGAAGCAAATAGAGTTGTTTGTACTTATGGTAGTCAATATTCTTCTCCAACATCATGATTCAAAGGCATGAATTCCTTCTTCAGTCTTCGTTATATTATTATTTTTATAAAGATACATCCTTCTTTAGTCTATTCTGGCATGCACTTCACGGAGGAATCTTGCAAGTGTTTCCTTCTTAGCATTTTTTTCTGCTGACCATCAGATAATCTGTTTGCTTCTGAAATGGCTCTTTGTACACCCAGAAGAACAGCAAAACTATTCTTGGGTTAGAATCTTCTAGACCTTATAAACATTCTCCGACCCAGTGATTGGGTGGATGTTACAAAGACTAGGAATGAAGGAGCCAAACTGAGCAATCTCATTTTGCTTTATCATTGATTGTGGATCCAAGTAAAATGTAATCCTTGATACTTTCAATATATTATCCTTTTATTTAAATATTTCATGCTGGTTCAGTTGTGAATTTTTTTTCTTTATATAACCCATACTAAAAACTGTATTCTTCATTAATAATTATTTCAAATGCTCTCATATTTTAGCAAATAAGCTTAGATAATCTGAATATCATAGATTATTGACACATCTTCTTTCATTCCCAATGCTGCATTTTTCTCAATATAGTCCAGCTTCTCAGATTAGTTTTTCAAGACACAGATTTAATTAAGCATTGTGAAAGGATACGGTCCTGATGTATTGATAATTACCAGTGATTTGAAGAAAATTTTAGAAATGAAGAGGAAAGATCAATAGTTGGAAAAAATGAAGAAAAAAATCCAACCCTTGAATTGAAATACCGAAGACTCTTGTGGCAAAATATTAAATGATGCCAGAAGTGACAAAAAAGATGGGAGAAATAGAGCCCGTGTATCCAAAATATTGGTCAACAACCAACCATTTCAAGTGGTAGTTTATTATCAAGAACCAATGGTGTTGAAAGAACCCCAAACTGCACTGAATCATTAATGAAAAACAAGACCACATGAAATGATGAAATATCTGTTTAAATATTTAATCAAACCAATGCAGTCCTGGAAGCACTTACCAGTGCAAACCAAGACATTTGGAAAACACCCACCTGGCCTACCAACTAGAAATGATCCATGTAAGTGCCCATTCCAAGACAGTTGAAGCAGCAGAATACAAAATTTAAAAAACAATGTGATTAACATCATATGTAAATATATTTATGGTGAAGACAATTCAAAAACAGATGAAGCAGTATATCAAGAGGGAACTTCTAGGAATTTTAGCTGGATTCAGAAGATGACATGGAATGGTGGAGTATCATTGCTGTCTCCAGGTGGATCTTGACAGAAAGGAGAGTACAGGCATTAGATTTGGTGGGTTAAAATAAATGAACAGTATCGCAAAAAGTAGGAATACCTAATGATGTTCCTTTGGAACTTGTATTCAGGCCAAGAAGTCTTTCTTCAAATAGAACAATTTGATACTGCCTACTTTAAAAACAAGATATACATTTATATTGTATCCTTTCACCATACTTATTCAACTAATATGCTAAGCAAATAATGAAAGAAATTGGACTATATAAAGAAGAATAAAACACCAGAGTATGAGGAATGCTTATTTATTACCTGTTATATACAGGTGACATAACTTTGCTTGATTAAATCAAAGAGAACTTGAAGCACCTACTGATGAAGATCAACGACCAGGCCTTCAGAATGGAATACAACTCAATGGAAAGAAAACGAAAATCTTCACTCCTGGAGCAATAGGCAACACATGATAAGTGGTGAAAAGACTGAAGTTGTCAAGAATAACATTTTACTTGGATCCACAATCAATTTTTCATGGACGTAGCAGCCTAGAAACCAAAGGATATATTGCACTGGACCAATCTGCTGCAAGAGACCCTGTTAGAATTTCACTTTGAGGACTCTGGTACGCCTGACTCTAGCCAGGGCATTTTCAATTGCTTCACATCCATGGAAAAGGTGGATAATGGTTAAAGACAATTAAAGAAACATTGATGATTTTGGAATTATGGTGTTGGTGAAGGGTACTGAACATATTATGAAGTGGTCAGTAGGAGTCAGAATTGGCTTGATGTTAGTGAGTTGCTGGGATTTCCCCCCAAAGAATTACCAAATGTGTGTTGGAGGAAGTACATCAGAATGATTCTTAGATGAAGATCTGTGAGACTTCATTTCACGTACTTCGCACTTTATCAGGAGGACCCAGTCCCTGGGGACTGACATCATGCTTGGTAAAATATAAATCCAGCAAAAAGAGAAAGACCCTCAACAAGATGGATTGTCACAGTGGCTGCAGCAATTGTACTCAAACAGCAATACTTGTGAGGATGGTGCAGGATCAATTTTTTTCACTTGTACCTAGAGTTTGGAGCCCTGGTGGTGTAACGGTTACTTGTTGGGATGTGATGA